GGAGAGGATTTTAAGTTTTGGCAGCGGCGGCTTGGTCAAGCTTTGTCCGCGGCTTCTGGCTCACCCATCGACTCTTTGGCTCCGATTTGGCCACAGGGAGGCTTAGAATTGAATTCCAAGTGGAAAAGACAAAATTTTTACCTTTCTCGACGGTTGGTGGTGGCTTCAGAATGGCAGCAGCGACATCCCTCTAACGACTGGTCTTCCCTCCAGTCGCCTCTTTCTTCTTCTTCTCTAGCTGGGTGTTAACTAGGGCTTAGGACCGACTGAAGAGAGATTTAAATACCTCTCTTCCCTTTGATCCTGATTGTCCATCCGCATCGACGTGGAGCGAAGAGAGTCATTGATCATTGCCTGTTTAGGCCGATTGCGTAGACGAATCTACACTGTTCATCATGATTAATCTTCTTCATCTGATAGCGTCTAATGAGGAAATATATCTAGTTTGTTCGTGCGTGCGGAATGCGATTTGGATTGTCGGATCGTCCAGACAAGCGGATCGCCCATGTGGCCTCCCCCATCAGTGTCTCCACAAGGCGACATTTTCTGGTTTGTCGTGGGTGCTGACGTGGTCGTCCCACGTGGCCCTATTTTTTTTTTTTGGGCTATTTCACCCCTTGTTTTTAAATTCTCTTTAAAAAACACTCCCCTTATTCATAATTTCACCCATTTTTTTAAAAATTATTTTCAATTTCGTCTCTATTTTATTTTTTCTCAATAATTTAAATAAAATTAAATTAAAATAAAATTTTTAATTATTTATATATATTTTATAAATAGAAAAATTATCCCGGGCCAAATTTTCGGGCCCAGGTATTACATATTCAATGTTTTTGATTGATTTATTTAATCTGCACTTGCAATATTTATTATGTTTTTCTTAATATTTATTAATTTTCTTGATGATTAGTTTTCTTATGCAAATTCCTAATATTCATCATGTTGTTTTATTTTAATATCCAATCTTTTATATAAAGAAAGCTAAAGGTAAGGATTAGATATATAGATAAAGAGAAAATTATAATTTAAAGTATTTTTTATTATATTATTCTTTTGCTTAATGGGAAAAGGAGTATGTGCATTTATACATATTTATATACACACACACACACACACGTATAATCATGTTAATAGTTTATTAATTGATTAATTAGTTAAATTTTCTACTCATAATTATTGTCTGTTTATTTGAAGAGTAAATTCGAACTCTTATTGTGTAACGACCTCAAAAATTTAAAAGTAAATGTATATAAAGAATGTGGGTGGAGAAGCAAAATAAAAGATTCAGATTAATATCCCTTACACAATAATTTAAACGTACTAACAATATCAAAAATAAGTCCTCTAAAGGAAATACTAGAAATGAAAGACTATAAGAAAACTAATAAACATCTAGGCATCTACTCGCAGTCTTCTTATGGATCGGGCTCGGGAACCAGGTCCTCCTGATCTGAAATTGTTAAGTAAGGAATGAGTTACACTACCCCAGTAAAGACATCACACTATATCACTGTCACAGAAGTAAAGGTTGGTAGAAAACCAAAAATAACTAATGGAGCACAAGTTTCAAGTAAATTTATTTATTAATAATCAAACTATTTACCGTCCACTTACCTCAGTGAGATTTATAAAAACGACCCGTAGAAACAATAACATCATAGATATCATAAATTCATACATAATCTGTAACATAGTACATGTCATACTTTTACATTTCAATCATCAAATAACAATTATCCCTTTTTTTATCAGCCTACTAGTATCCGTAGGGATCCATAGGGGTCCCCGCTACCCGTGAACCATTCCCTTGACAAACTTAATTTCCAGGGTCGTCCCCATATCCCGTCCGGTATGGGTGCCAGACAATAAGCTTCAATACCCCGTCCGATATGAGGGTGAAGCGGGCCGTCCCATACCCCATTCGGTATGAGTGTCAAAATATTTAAAGTCTTCATACCCCGTCCGATATGAGACAACATTCCCGGTAGGGTTCTTTATGAATCCAGCCCGTCCACCATCTCCCAAGATATCTAGTGAGGCTGTCAACTTATCCATTTATCAATTTACATACCTTTTCAAATTTTTTTCTTAGTTTTTCGTTTCTCACATAAACATAAATACTTAAACAAATAACAAGCATCCAACAAGGCAAGCATATCATCGGATTCACAAAATCAAGCCATAATGAAGTAAACAGTGATTCATGCATTCAAAAACATAGAATAAATAAATAAGATACCATACTGCATTTAAACTGTAAAATAAATCAAACAGAAACTAACAGAGAAATATGTCCAGTTCGGGCTCCATTAGCAACCATAATAATTATGTATATCTATTTAATTCATATAAATACAGTTTTATCATTTATTAGACTTTAATCCCGTGATAGGAAATAGGGTGAGGGGTCCTTACCTGATTCGAAATTAAAAATCGGATTTTTCACTGCGCCTACAGGCAGTCCCTGGGTTCTCTGATTTTTTTCTCGGAAACTGAAACGCGCTTACGGTACTATACATATCCCAAATAACTCAAAAATCAGACCCGAGACTTATTCAACAAATTTTAGAATTCCGGCACAGTGGCTCTACCGTGCTCCGACGACGGCGGTGATCTACCTCGAGTTGGCCATTTTCGGCTAAATTCGGCCAAAATTGCATTGGTTCCTGTGAGAAAACAGCCCCAGGACCCTCGGTGGGCCAAAAAAATACCAAAAACCAAAACTTACCGGCGGCGGGGCTCTCCGGTGTGGCGGCTCCTCCAGCTCGAGTCGCGATTTGGTGTTTTGCTCCGATCAACCTGTAGAGGAAGGAACGATGGTCACAATGGTAGAAAAATTACATCGAACGGGAATCAGGAAGGGCCTCATCGAAGACAAAAACTGAGAAAATCCGCGGCGACGCTGCTGGACATCGGCGGCATTTTTCAGCCAATTGGCCAGTGTTTTTGCTCCGATTTGGCCACATATGGGTTTAGCATCGAATTCTGAGCCAAGGAGAAAATTTTTACCACGTTTGGCAGCCGAAAATTACTCTAGTGCGGCGGCGGATGGCAGTGGTCGGCTCCCTAGTGACTGGGCTGTCTTCTCCAGCGAGGGGCTCTGGTGGCTAGGGTTAGGGTTTGGTGCGGATGAGATTATTTATAACCATCTGCTTTTAATCTGAGCCGTCCATCGCAATTTAATCTGGGTCATCCGATCGCGATTAAATAGAAAATAAATCTGGGCCGTTCATCACGATGCAATCTGGGCCGTCCGTGCGCGTGCAATCTAGGCTGTCCGCATGCGCTTTTGATATGGGCCATCCATACGCGCGAAAACGAATTTCAGTCGTTCGATCGTGCGCACGCGGATCGCCCACATGGCTCCCTTCTGCGTGGCCTCCCGCGTCAGCGTCTCTGCCACGCGGCGTGTCCTGGTTGGCCGGGGATGCTGACCGGGCTGTTGACGTAGTGCAATTTTTCTAAATTGCGTTTTGACCTCTAATTTT